TCAAGATTTAATAATCAATAACAAACCCATCAGTCGCTTATTATAGAAACAAGGTTGCAAGGTAAGGAAAAAACAAATCTAAATTCAATATCTATCCAAATATGCATAACTTCTAATAATCTTATCATATAACTTAAAAGAAGATAATTCTACTAACGATTTAAATTAAAACAAAGATAAAACTTAGACAGTTAAAATTATTAAAATATTCTAAAAATAGTTTTCTTGTCTTGTACAAGAGATGCAAATTTCAAAATGATCCCATATTTTGAGTAGAAATACTTCATCATATTGTCTAAAAATAAGGGTCCATTTCGGTGAAATAAAGTCAAAAGTTGAAATTGCTTGCGGATATCTAACTCTAAGAAGTTGATGGTCATTGTTGTAAAAGCTTTGGCTAGTTGATTGTCTCTACCCATAAGATGAATTAGTCAGCAAGCACTAAAAGTAAGCCATATGATTCAAGACCAATAGAAAGAGGATTGATGGTCCGTAACATTGTTGGATAATAAGAATTTTGGATGCTTCTCCTTGTAAAGGCTTCGACAGCTCCACGTCATTATTAGTAATAGATTCACAAAAGCTGAGAAGTGCTTACTCATTTACCACTATGGGGTTCCTACTGAAGGTGGCCAAGTGCATCACCTAATTGACCAATAAGGGAAGTGGTTGTTGATTGGCTATTATTGTAGTGAAGGGAGGATTAACGATAATTTTCTTCGCTACGAGTTCTAGGAAAGTATGTCACATTGCAATTATTGGAACAAATACAAGCATTTTATAGGATATGATTTAGGAAAATTATCGATGGACTTCCATCATAGTGATTGTTGAGCAATGAAAAAAGACCGGCAAAAGTTGGTCGAGCACGGTTGACAAAAAAGGTGCTTGAGTTTTGTCAGTCATCTTTTAGTAACTCACACGTCCTACATGCATAACTCTTGGATTCTAGCTCCATCAAGTGCCTAGCCTTTTGAATTTGTAAGGTTTCAAATCAAAACCCATTAGACTTTATTTATGGGCCCGAGGCCACCTTAAATTCCTCTAACCTATGAGATTAGAGATCAACATGATCTCATTTGAATTACACCTTATTCATATAGAAGGTGGCCAAATCTACACCCATAAGTCAAATAAAATAAATTTTCATATGCATCAATTGAATCATAAAAATCAGGAAACAACCATTCCATCAACAAACTCATCAATGCTCAGATCTCACTCAAATGAGAGGTCAATAAACAAGCAAAGGACAATATCCAATAGCATTAAAAAAAATCTAAAAATTTTCCTCAAACATCCACAAGCGATGCTAAATTCCACTAAACCACTAAAACTCATTAGAAAAACAGCCAATTTTTTTAAGAATCCATAAACGTTAAGTGACAGCAGATCACTCAAATGAATCTCTCAAAAAAGGCTACCTAAATTGCACTATCAAAATTTCAGTTTCACCTAGTATGGCCGTCATGGAAAAAACATTAAACAAAGAAAACAATACCAACTTCGCTATATGGTAGCTACAAATACAATAAGCAAGGAAACCCAAACAAGATGTGTCCACGAGCACAAATTTCAACATTTGTGCAGACAAAGAAAAGCTTACGGGAGGGGAAAAGGGTGGACGAGCAGAGAGATGCGAGGGTGATATTCCAGGAGAACTTGCTTCAGAGGAGGCCAAGTGTCTCTGCTATCGGGACATAAAGGATCGAAAAAAGATTCCACGATTATGCCGTCAGCGATCCCCCAGTTCTCGCCGTATGGAAAGCCATCGTACCTCGCAGGTATGGAACTCCAGGCTATAGAGACGCCCTGGAAGAAGAGGAGAACCGGAATTAGGAACGCCATAGGCGAGTGCCTCTGCATGAGTGAAGTCCTAAGACGAACAGTGGAGATCGGCACATAGACAAAGGGAATTGATGGATGAGCATCTTTGCACATAGGCCCTTAGAATTGTGATAAATTATGTTTTATCGTTGTTTCGTAGCAATTGCTCGATAGATACTTTCAATAAATGCATGAGAATTATGCAAATAACCCTAATATTTAATTCATTATTGGATATTTCAATCCTAAATGACGACTACCTGAAATTGGTAAATAGATAATGGCTTCTGATTCTATATAATATATTTGTCGTGCATTATACATTATAATCATGCATACTTTAAATAATATTTATTTGTTTTGTGGAATATAGTGTGATTTTCTAAGTTATTAATTGCTAATATATTTAACGTTTCTCAACCACATTAATTTCAATTTATCTAACTATTTTTTTTAATTTCAACTAACTATTTTTTTTAATTTCAATTTATCTAACTATTTTTTTTAATTTCATAAAATTATCCTCAACTAAATTTACATTAAATATCTTTATGGGAAGTTACAATTGTTTGAAGAAATTATTGTCAAGTTATTACAAAAGAAACAAGTGTTCAAAGAACTGTAATGACCGTTAAAAATTTATCTTATCTTCAAAAAGTTAGGACGTAGTTTTCTTACTGCCATCACATTTAGTCAAACCAAATTATAAATTGCAACTTCTCATCTAGTTTTTTTTGAAAAAAACATACAAAATATAGTTTTGATGAATACTTGAAATGCGGTATAATATCGTACCACTGTCTAAATGATGAGTGTCCATTTGAGCACAAGGGGTGTGTTGGTATGGGAAAAAAATTGCACGCGTAAGATGTATGCAGCGCTGCGTATGTCAGGGTTATACAGAGAGTACATGGGGTTATATTCACGTTATATCCTCTGTAACCTCCATGTAACATACATGTAACCTACCTGTACATTCTATTGAGATCTGAAACCTCCTAACATACATGTAACCTACCTGTACATTCTATTGAGTTCCACGGTCATGTTTTCATATATTTATAAGTTACAGATAGTTCCACGGTTATGTTTTCATATATTTATAAGTTACAGATATGTCACAAGAAGGTTAAAGAGGGTATAGCACATATTTAACCTCCTGTACCCTCTGTATAACCCTGAAATACACAATTTTTTTCTGTTGGTATGAATTGACTGTGGTGACAAAAAAAAAAAAAAAATTGTATAATATTTTTATAAAGAATTAACACTCAAAATAGTATTATTTACATAAAAGTTTGTTAAATTTTTATTTGAATATCAAAATTCATAATAAAATCTTAATTCATATTTTAAAATTTTAAAAATCCATAGTCATATTTTTTTTATTTTATTAAATCAGTGGCACGCATAGTTGAATGGGTTAGATGGTTCAAATTGCAATAAAAGAAAAGTTGGTGATAGTTTTATAAATAACAAAGTTACGAGTGTTATGAATGGAGTTATCCCAAATATCAATAATATTTAGCGGTTAGTACCTTCATTCAGCGAAACTTTACTTCCTGCTAAACTGGCTGAGAATCGCACCAAATCCCTTCACCGAAATTTAGCAAAATCCCAATCCTCTTCATCTCACCCAGATTCTGTGAAACGAAAACCCTAGGAAAAATCCAGGTAGGCCAATGGCGAGGGGTTTTCGTGGCATGAAAGATGACTTCATGGAGATAATCCATCATATCGTCGGGCTTTCCTGTTGCTCCTTCCCACATGACGACAATTACGATGGTCAGCTTCTTCCGCTCCCACAACCTACCGGGGGCGATTTCGTCTGCTTAGAGGCGAGTGAGGTGTTTTCCGCCTCTAATACGGAAGTTAGGGATGCTGTGGCGATGGAGGATGATCCCCGTTCTGCGCTTGCTGGTACGGGGGCTGTAGATGATGATGCATTCTTTGTGCTAAGTGGAGTATTTTTTGGTGTCTTCATTGAGAAATTGATTTGATTGGTTCTTTCTTATTATTGCTTGAATTCGATTGCTTTGTTTGTTGTACTTTTGTATTGTGGTTTCTTGTTGCTCGTGACATCACGAACGTTGTTTTATTGTGCAGGCAGACTTATTGGATGATCTACTTGATCGGTTTAGATATGTTTAGAAGTGAGAAAGCATAACGAGTTGTTTTGAAGTTTCTTTTCATATTTTGGAACGTTTCATAATTTATTTTGATATATTTATATTTTTATCGGTTTTATGTATTGGAGACAGAATAGGATTTGAATGTCATGACCTTCCAAATCAAGTCTAATTATCGAACAATGTCCATGGATGAACTGTCCGGTCGAATTGCTTCCTAGACGGCCCTATATCATCCGAACCAACCTTATCATGCTTGCTTTAAAAGGTAGTATATTTGGGCAACATGAGACTTGATGAAACTGTTTAGTCTTATCTCACGCAACAAATGCTAAGAGCAAATATTTAGCATTACAGTTTGCATTCAAGAGCAAATGCTTTTTATACAAACATACAAGCAAAAGTTTATAATCATAAAATGTTTGAAATGAAATTTTTGTGGATAAATAGAATCTCTAACCTTTTTTCATCAAGGGAAAACAAAAAAATTAAACTAATAAAAGGAGAATAAATCAACTGCATTTGAAATCTCTAATCTATAACCTTAAATATTCTAACAAAGAATTACCATTGAACAAATGAATGACAGGATCTGTTAAGAGAAAAATTAACCACAAATGTCTTAATAGATATTAAAATTTATTATAGCATAGACGAAAATATATAAAAATGAACATGAACAGTGGAATTGGTATAAACATTGATATATAATGATATAATAAGTGCCATCGTAACATCAAATTAAAATGATAGTACATATTATAAATAATAAAAAATGTCAGTCATTCTATAATAATTTGCTGAATAGCTTCATTCATAATCTTTAATGTAAAAGATAGTAGTCATTGCATTTGCATGCTAACAAAACTATTGACAATCGTATAATGCATATGTGTGTTTTGGTAGTGTTTGATGCATAGGTTTAGGAAAGATTTGATTATTTTGTTTTGAGATATGGTTGTTGTCATGTTAGGAATGATTTTCAAGAGCTTAGTTTGGAAGGAGATTATGAGGATTATTTTATTTCATTAAAGGAGATTATGTATATATTTTGGGGAAGATAAAACTGGAAAGAGTTTGAAGGTGACTGACTGAAAGCTTGGGGAAAAGGGAACAAGAAGGTTGCTGTGTTTTATCAGAGAAATCTAAGATTGTTTGAGCTGGCATAGGTGTCAAATAAAAATGTTTTGAAAATCGTACTGATAGTACGTGATGTTAGGAATCCCTTGTCCAGAATTTTAAATTTTGAGTTTATTTGATGAGGGAAAACAATCAAAACATAAAGGTTATGATACTATTACAATTAATTTATGCTTTTTAACATTCATGATTTTAGGACAATAATTTATAGAAGAGTTTGAATGTATGGGAGGACACACTTTTGGCAATGCATGGGATGATGTAGAGGCAGAAGGGGTGTACCTTGAAAGAAACTTCTTCCAAATTCACATTACGAAGCTTCAATATATCTATATCTTAATGTGTGATAATGCAGGTTGCATTAAATGCTAGTGATTGTTGATGATATTTGTGAACTTGAATGAATGCGCAACCTAGCCAAGAAGAAGGAAAAGAGGTTGAAAAGCCACGTAATCTAAAGGGTAGTGAGAAGGGGGAAATAATGTATACACAATCAATAGAATGAGGAAGGTGAAAGGATTCAAGAATCATGCTTTGATTTAAAGTTCAACTAATTAATAGAATCTCTTTATATAGAGAACAAAACTTTAACATAAAGGCCATACCATGACATTGGGACTACAAGAAAAAAGAATGACATAAACATAAATTAAATTGTATACAAATAAGTGTTGACCCGTTTAGTTCTTTATCATGACCCTTTTTAAGACTTGATCTGTACTATGCATATGATAACATGGCATGGTTAGCCGTCTTGTTTAAGCATGACAAGCCCTTGATTAAGATCGATCATATGTGATAACTTCGGTAAAAATCCACTCAACATGGAGTACCCAAATGAATTGGCCGCATCATCGTTGTTTAAGAACAGATTGATGGAGCACCTTAGGGATACCAAATAGTCATATTAGAATCAATTCTATAGCCCAAATAAGTCCTTGGTCTTCTTATCTAGTGCTTTTCTCAATTCAAATAAGGGAAGATGATCAAGCTTATTAGACGGTGAACAAGGTAGATGACAAGTTAGGCTATGGATTACAATAACTGTATTCCAAATTTATTGTAAATTAATGGAATTGATCATGAATTCCATTAATTTGCAATAAATTTGTTCAGAAGCGTGAGGAAGGTGAAACCCCCAATTTATTAGAAAAGAACAATTCAAATTCCTCACAATAATGCTGAATTTCCTGACTAGCCAGATTTTATTTATGCTTTTCTCAAAATTATAAAATAGGCCATCAACTCATTTGATTAATCCAAGTTTCTACCTGCTTAAAATTCAATACGATCTTCAATTAATCTTTGAGCCAAATTGGAAGATTTAATCTTCTCAGAAGTTTAACACGTAAAGAAGTCCTTTGCTGGTAATCCTGTTGTTTTATTTTTCATTGCCTCTTGTTTTTAAACTTGAATTATCTAGTATTTCTTTGACAGCTGGTCCTGCAACTGTATTTAGTATAGTTCAATTTTTCCTTGTTTTACTTGTGTTTTTTGTATTTTCAATGAGGATTTGAAGTCTTTGCCTTTTGATCCTTGCTTTGTTCTACGTACAATTAGTATTTTGTTTTAGTCCAAACTTGCCCTGACATCATATTCAGTTTAAGTGTTTTCTTTGGTTCAAAAAATGTCCTGAAAACATCAGATCTAGTAGAGGCGTATCTTTCATGTACTGCATGAAAATCATACCTTTAATTCATGAGCACCTTCATAGTTGTGTCTCTCTGAGTTTTAAAGTTTATGGAGTTGCGACCATTTACTTGCAAATTCTGAATTCTGTACGCTAAATACTACTGTG